TTGAAATATATATTTTTTAATTAACAGCTAAGCCCAAATAATTTTCTCAAATATGGGGAATGAATACATAAATTTATAAAAATATAATGGCCTTATATTTCAACGCATGGCACATCACCAGAAATAGTTCGACTTTCAAACAGATTTAGTCCTACTTTCAAACAGATTTAGCCCTGGTCTGTCGGTTAAGGCGTCTGACTAGAAGTCAGATTCTCTATGGCAGCGTAGGTTCGAAACCTACCAACTGCAAACGGCCATTGTTTCGCTTGAAATATATATTTTTTAATTAACAGGTCAGCCCAGAAATTTTTCTCAAATATGGGGAATGAATACATAAATTTATAAAAATATAATGGCCTTATATTTCAACGCATGGCACATCACCAGGAATAGTTCGACTTTCATACAGATTTAGCCCTGGTCTGTCGGTTAAGGCGTCTGACTAGAAATCAGATTCTCTATCAGCATAGGTTCGAAACCTACCTACTGCAAACGACCATTGTTTTGCTTGAAATATATATTTTTTAATTAACAGCTAAACCCAGAAAATTTTCTCAAATATGGGGATTGACTAGATAAATTTATGAAAATATAATGACCTTATATTTCAACGCATGGCACATCACCAGAAATAGTTCGACTTTCAAACAGATTTAGCCCTGGTCTCTCGGTTAAGGTGTCTGACTAGAAATCAGATCCTCCATGGCAGCGTAGGTTCGAAACCTACCTACTGCAAACGACCATTTGTTTTGCTTGAAATAAAATTTTTGTAATAAACAGCTCAGTCCAGAAAATTTTGTCAATTATGGAGATTGAGTGCATACATTTAAAACAATATAATGCCCTTATATTTCAAATGGCACATCACCAGAAATAGTTCGACTTTCAAACAGATTTAGCCCTGGTCTCTCGGTTAAGGTGTCTGACTAGAAATCAGATCCTCCATGGCAGCGTAGGTTCGAAACCTACCTACTGCAAACGACCATTTGTTTTGCTTGAAATAAAATTTTTGTAATAAACAGCTCAGTCCAGAAAATTTTGTCAATTATGGAGATTGAGTGCATACATTTAAAACAATATAATGCCCTTATATTTCAAATTGCACATCACCAGAAATAGTCCTACTTTCAAACAGATTTAGCATTGGTCTGTCGGTTAAGGCGTCTGACTAGAAGTCAGATTCTCTATTTCAGCGTAGGTTAGAAACCTACCTACTGCAAACGGCCATTGTTTTGCTTGAAATATATATTTTTTAATTAACAGCTAAGCCCAAATAATTTTCTCAAATATGGGGAATGAATACATAAATTTATAAAAATATAATTGCCTTATATTTCAACGCATGGCACATCACCAGAAATAGTTCGACTTTCAAACAGATTTAGCCTTGTTCTCTCGGTTAAGGCGGCTGACTAGAAATCAAGTTCCCTATCAGCATAGGTTCGAAACCTAACTACTGCAAACGACCATTGTTTTGCTTGAAATATATATTTTTTAATTAACAGCTAAGCCCAAATAATTTTCTCAAATATGGGGAATGAATACATAAATTTATAAAAATATAATGGCCTTATATTTCAACGCATGGCACATCACCAGAAATAGTTCGACTTTCAAACAGATTTAGCCTTGGTCTGTCGGTTAAGGCGTCCGACTAGAAATCAGATTCCCTATGGCAGCGTAGTTTCGAAACCTACCTACTGCAAACGTATATTGTTTTGCTTGAAATATATATTTTTTAATTAACTGCTCAGCCCAGAAATTTTTATCAAATATGGGGATTGAATACATAAATTTATTAAAATATAATGGCCTTATATTTCAACACATGGCATATCACCAGAAATAGTTCGACTTTCAAACAGATTTAGCCTTGGTCTGTCGGTTAAGGCGTCTGACTAGAAATCAGATTCTCCATGGCAGCGTAGGTTCGATACCTACCTACTGCAAACCGCCATTGTTTTGCGTGAAATATATATTTTTTAATTAACAGCTCAGCTCAGAAATTTTTCTCAAATATGGGGATTGAGTACATAAATTTATAAAAATATAATGGACTTATATTTCAACGCATGGCACATTACCAGAAATAGTTCGACTTTCAAACAGATTTAGCCTTGGTCTCTCGGTCAAGGCGTCTGACTAGAAATCAGATTCTCCATGGCAGCGTAGGTTCGAAACCTACCTACTGCAAACGACCATTTGTTCTGCTTGAAATATAATTTTTGTAATTAGCAGCTCAGTCCAGAAAATTTTGTCAATTATGGAGATTGAGTGCATACATTTAAAACAATATAATGCCCTTATATTTCGAATAACACATCACCAGAAATAGTTCGACTTTCAAACAGATTTAGCCTTGTTCTGTCGGTTAAGGCGTCTGTCTACAAATCAGATTCTCCATGGCAGCGTAGGTTCGAAACATACCTACTGCAAACGGCCATTATTTTGCTTGAAATATATATTTTTTAATTAACAGCTCAGCCCAAAAATTTTTCTCAAATATGGGGATTGAGTACGTAAATTTATAAAAATATAATGGACTTATATTTCAACGCATGGCACATCACCAGAAATAGTTCGACTTTCAAACAGATTTAGCCTTGTTCTGTCGGTTAAGGCGCCTGACTAGAAATCAGACTCTCCATGGCAGCGTACGTTCGAAACATACCTACTGCAAACGGCCATTATTTTGCTTGAAATATATATTTTTTAATTAACAGCTCAGCCCAGAAATTTTTCTCAAATATGGGGATTGAGTACGTAAATTTATAAAAATATAATGGACTTATATTTCAACGCATGGCACATCACCGGAAATAGTTCGACTTTCAAACAGATTTAGCCTTGGTCTGTCGGTTAAGGCGTCTGACTAGAAGTCAGATTCTCCATGGCAACGTAGGTTCGAAACCTACCTACTGCAAACAACCATTTGTTTTGCTTGAAATATAATTTTTGTAATTAGCAGCTCAGTCCAGAAAATTTTGTCAAATATGGAGATTGAGTGCATTCATTTAAAACAATATAATGCCCTTATATTTCGAATGGCACATCACCAGAAATAGTTCGACTTTCGAACAGATTTAGCCTTGTTCTGTCGGTTAAGGCGTCTGTCTAGAAATCAGATTCTCCATGGCAGCGTAGGTTCGAAACCTACCTACTGCAAACGGCCATTGTTTTGCTTGAAATATATATTTTTTAATTAACAGCTCAGCCCAGAAATTTTTCTCAAATATGGGGATTGACTACATAAATTTATAAAAATATAATGGCCTTGTTAAGGGTTGAATAACATTTTTTCGGTAACTTCATAATTTTTTTGTTTTGGGTTAACTTTATATTTTCGCGCTATGTATACAACACCCCCACTATACCCAACCTTGGTTAAGCCGCGCGAAAAGACAGACTTGCGTGAGCGTCCGTAGTGCGAACCACGAAAAAACAAGCTCCCTTTTGTGACCGGTTCGCGAGAACCCCGCGGTGTGTTGTGGTCCTTACCACCCCCAACCCTCCAGAAAATACCCCTAAGAAGACCCGGCCGGGCAGACGACGACGCGGGAAACCATCAAGGTGGGTGATTAACCGTTTCGGGTGTTGTATGTCCTACTGTTTTCTTGCCGCTCTTTCTCGTTTAAATTTTGAGGGTGATTTACAACCACCTTCCCCCAACCCTTTACATATTGGTCCTTCTCCCCAAATCAGAATCAGTCTTTTGGATTTTTATAGTCATTCACAAACTTTAGTAATTTTAAATATACAGGTGAACAGGTTAGCAAAAATCGTGTAAAGTTCGGAGCGCGAAAAAGCGGTTTCATAAAAAGTGTTTACCGTCGTTTCGAATTGCGGCCGTCTTTTTATTTGATTCGTTCTAAGCATATTTTCTGCGCGCTCAAATTCTTCTTCTTAATTTACGTGGGTACTTTGTTTCGGGACTTAGGTGTGCATTTGTTTACAAAACGATTTACAATGTCGGAAATAGATAAATTTATTGCTAAGCGGGATTTAACACTTAGACGCTTTAACGATATATTGTCAGCGGGTCAGAAAGCTCGCGTTGAACCCGATGATGATGAAATTTTATGCAAATTCCAGTGCATGGTGGAGGATTTGCCGAGTTTAGTTAGCACTTTTGAGTCCTTGCAATTGGAAGTAATCTCCTTAGCGAATGATTCGGAAAGAGATCGACAGTTTGCGGTTCAAGATCACTTTGATCAGTTGCATTATTCAATTCGATCTATTGCCAAGCGATTATTTGAGAAAGTGGAACCTAAGGCAGGCTCTCCGGTACCATCTGTAGTTGGTCGAGAGTCGCAAAGAAATAGTAATCTCCGACTCCCCCGTATTATCATTCCGAAATTTGATGGCGAATTGAAAAATTGGCCTACATTGATATGTTTAACACGTTGATCCATAATAATTCTTCCCTTTCAAACATTGAAAAATTTCAATTTTTAGTGTCTCATTTGGAAAAGGATGCTCTCAGTGTCGTGAAGAATTTGCCAATTTAGGATGCCAATTATAGTATAGCTTACAATGCCCTCGTGAAGCGGTATCAAAACGATCGATTGTTGTTAACCGATTATTGGCTGTCGATCTTTCGGGCTCCGACTATGAAGAGTGACTCGGTTGTTGAACTGAGGAGATTGCTTTCAACATTTTCAGAGAATCTTGCAGCTATCGATAAATTCGATATCGACTTGTGGGATTTTACAAAATTCAATTTGCTTTTAGATAAACTCGACTCGGCTCTCAAGACGAGGTTCGAACTCAAATTTTGTGATAAAGATATCCCAACTTTTCAAAACTTATGTGATTTTTTGGAACAGAATTGTAAAGCTTTAGAAAACTCTTTAGTTACCTCAAAAGGTATTACCCCTACCAAGAGGCTTGAGGTTTCGAAGCGAGTTTCAACCGATACACGTAGACCCACATCTATGATAGCGACGTCTACCCCTCCGAGTGCTGATGTGAGTTGCACCAGTAAGTGTTTATACTGCCCTATGGACTACCATCCTCTGACAAAGTGTGATTCCTTCCTATCTCTTGAGTCCCCTCAAAGGCATGTGTTCATCAAGCAACACCGTCTGTGCTTTAATTGCTTCGCGCGATCCCATGGTGTTGGAAGATGCCGCTCCAAGATTAATTGTCGTGTATGTGGCAAGCGCCACCATACTTTAGTGCATTTTGGAAATGCTACTACCCCCTCCCCGTCGAATGAAGCTCCCCCTGCTTCCATCAACCAGGAAGGTACTATCCCTAGTCCGGTGACCATGATGACCAATCTCTCCTCTCAAAAGGTCGTGCTCTTTGCCACTTGCTTGGTGTCCGTTTCGGATAAATCTGGCAGACTTGTTACTTGTCGTGCACTGTTGGATTCAGCTAGTCAAGCCAGTTTTGTGACAGATTCCTTTGCGAAGAAATTGGAGCTTCCAAGGTCTCTCTCTCCGACACCAATTCAAGCCGTCTTCAAAACGTCTGCGTTAGGGAAGGTTGCCCTGAGCGTGACCCCCTCCCAAAGAAAATCCCTTGCTCTCCATATAGAGGCTTTAGTTATTCCATCTATTTGTGATAAGGTACCCTACCAGGTGATTGATAAGCAGAATCTAAAACATCTCAGGTCCCTACCCTTGACTGATCCCCACTTCTGTGAACCCAACGAAATAGACGTGCTTTTAGGGGCAGAGGTTTACGGAGATATTTGTTTGCCTGGATTTAGAAAAGGACAGAACGGTGGCCCATGCGCTTTTCGGACCATCTTCGGATGGGTTGTCCTAGGAAAAGTGAATTCTTTAGAACCATCTTCTACCTTTAGTTTTTATACCAATGTGAGTACTGCTGTTGATGTTTCCTTGAAGAGATTTTGGGAACTCGAGTCCGTCCCTTCAAAGACCTTTATGTCTCCTGAAGACAAATTGTGCGAGGAGATCTTTCTCTCTACCCATTCCCGTGCCCCTTCAGGTAGATACGTCGTATCCTTACCCTTTAAGGATAAACACCCTTCACTTGGTGAATCTTACCCTCAAGCCCTTAGGCGATTCCAGTCGTTAGAGGCGCGTTTGGCCAAGAACCCAACTTTGCGATTAGCCTACAACGAGTTCTTGAGAGATTATTGGGAACAAGGTCACATGGCACTCGTTAGCGACCTGCCCCCCTCTCCCCAAGTTTACTACATTCCTCATCACGCCGTCTGGAAGCCACATAGCGAACCCCTTAAATTGCGTGTTGTGTTTGATGCTTCAGCCAAAACTTCATACGGACGGTCCCTGAACGATCTTCTATTTACGGGTCCCAAGCTCCAACCCGACATTGGAGCCATTTTGCTCATCTTTCGACTGTACTGTGTGGTTTTCACCACCGATATTCGTCAGATGTATCGTCAAATCCTAGTGAGTGACGCCGACCACCTCTCCCAGCGGATTCTGTGGCGTTTTGATCCCCGCGAAGCAGTGCGAGAGTACGTCTTGTCAACGGTGGTCTATGGACTAAGTTGTAGCCCATACTTGGCTATTCGCGTGTTGCGTCAGCTTGCTAGGGACGAAGGAGCGCGTTACCCGTTAGCACCCCGTCTCCTAGATTGCCAAACCTACATCGACGACATTATCGGAGGAACAGACTCGTTGGAGGAAGCCCGTGAGTTGAGGGATCAATTAGTATCGCTGCTAAAATTGGGTGGTTTCGAGTTGCGCAAATGGGCGAGCAACTCCCCCGAGTTATTGAGTTCACTTCCCGCTTCACATCATCAACCCGTTTCCCTATGCGGAGACGACAATCCCAGTTTAAAGGTGTTGGGATTGCAGTGGTGTCCCTTACGGGATGTGTTCTCCTACCGCATCCAAGTAGCGGATAGGACGTGCACAAAAAGGAATATTTTGTCGCAAGTAGCCCAAATATACGATCCCCTAGGTTTTTTATCCCCGGTCATGTTGACTGCCAAAATTCTCCTACAGAGGCTTTGGTCCCAAGGCGTCGATTGGGATGCACCTCCCCCCCGCGACATATTCGAAGATTGGAGTTCGTTTTCGTCTCAGCTGGACAGTCTTGCTGGGCTGACAATCCCTCGTCGGGTACTGCCTAGCAATGGCGTCCAGGTGGAGATGCACGGATTTCGTGACGCTTCGGAGCGCGGATACGGTGCAGCCGTGTATCTGCGAAGCGTCAGAGAGGGCCATATCTTTGTCACCCTTCTGTGTGCAAAGAATCGGGTAGCGCCTTTGAAGCGAGTGTCGATCCCCCGTCTGGAGTTGTGCTCAGCGTTACTGTTCGCCCAACTCGTAGATTTCGTCCGATCCACTATAGCCTCTGAGTTGACTATCACGAGAGTATTCGCCTGGAGTGACTCCAAAATTGCGTTGTCTTGGATAAAGTCATCCCCCCACAGATGGAAAACTTTTGTGGCCAATCGCGTGTCCCTCATTCAGGACATCATTTCCCCCAGTTCCTGGCATCACGTCGCCGGTTCATCCAACCCTGCTGACTGCGCATCCCGAGGGCTTTTCCCCGAGCAAATATTAATCCACCCCTCTTGGTTCTGTGGTCCCCCTTGGTTGCGTCTTCCGGTGGAAGAGTGGCCCACCTCCGACTTCACCCCCGGAGACGATCTGGAACTGGAACGTAAACCAGTGTTGACTTGTGTGTCCACCCCTTTAGTTGACTCGCTCGGAGAATTGTTAACCCGTTTCTCGTCGTTACGAAAAATTGAGAGGATCCTGGCTTATTGTTGTAGGTTTCTAAATAATTGTCGTACCCCCGTTCCCAAGCGAGCGCTTGATAATTTGTCTTTTGCGGACACGTACCACGCCCGCACGTTGCTGACAGGATACGTCCAACGTGAGGTATTCGCCGGTTTGCTGAAGTGTCTTCGAAACGGTAAACTGTGCCCCAAACCTTTACGCTCCCTAGCGCCCTTTATCGACGAGCACGGTCTCATTCGAGTCGGTGGCAGACTCCGAGGTTCTGCGTTGTCCTTCGACGCAAAACATCCTCTTCTACTACCTCGAGACCATCGCTTTACCGAACTCGTGATCGAAAAGTTCCATAAGGAAAATTGCCACCCGGGCCCCCAATCGTTGTTGTACCAGATTTCACAACAATTCTGGATTTTGTCCGCCCGCAGAGCAATTCGTCACACCCTATCGCAGTGTTACCGATGCTTCCGTGTCCGACCTTCTTGTGTACAGCCATTCATGGCTGATTTACCCCCCGTTCGTGTATCGCAAGTCAAGCCATTCGCGCATACCGGTGTCGATTTCGCCGGTCCAATTTCCATTACCCTTGCGCGAAGGCGTGGCGCTAAGACTCAGAAGGCTTACATTTGCCTATTCGTTTGCATGGCTACCAAAGCCATCCATTTGGAATTGGCTTCTGAACTCAGCTCCGACGCGTTCTTGGCCGCTTTTCGGCGCTTTGTCGCTCGCCGCGGGCGTTGCACTGACATGTATAGTGATCAGGGTAGAAATTTTGTCGGTGCTAACCGGATGTTGGTACAGTATTGCCAGCAGTCCGCCGACCAGTGTGAGGTGCGCTGGCACTTCAACCCACCCTCCAGTCCTCACTTTGGAGGTCTTTGGGAGGCCGGCGTCAAATCGGTAAAGACCCATTTGTTTCGTGTGATAGGCTCTCAAATCCTGACTTTCGAGGAAATGTCGACAGTGTTAACTCAGGTGGAATCCATACTGAATTCCCGCCCATTATGTAGTTTGAGTTCCAACCCAAACGATTTGCATAGCCTTACTCCTGGGGATTTTCTGACCCTGGAGCCCCTATCTGCCCGTCCCGACGACCCTTTAGCTAATCTGAACACTAACAGACTCACTCGTTGGCAGCTCATGCAGCAGTTGCATCAGCACTTCTGGGACAGATGGCATCGGGAATACCTCCACCAGCTGCAGCAACGGCACAAGTGGAACACCACGACTAACCCCCCAAAAGTTGGTCAGTTGGTTTTAATTAAAGACGAGAACCTCCTCCCGTTAAAGTGGCTTCTGGACCGCATCACGCGCTTGTACCCCAGTTCCGACAAGGAAATTCGCGTTGTGCAAGTGCACACGGCCAAAGGCACTTTCGATCGACCTTTGGTCAAATTATCTTTTGTCCCTAACTGTTAACCTGTTCAAGGGGCAACCGTGTATATAGTACAGCATAAGTTTATGGGAAAAATTGGGTATTTTTGGGAGGCCGGAATGTTAAGGGTTGAATAACATTTTTTCGGTAACTTCATAATTTTTTTGTTTTGGGTTAACTTTTTATTTTCGCGCTGTGTATACAACACCCCCACTATACCCAACCTTGGTTAAGCCGCGCGAAAAGACAGACTTGCGTGAGCGTCCGTAGTGCGAACCACGAAAAAACAAGCTCCCTTTTGTGACCGGTTCGCGAGAACCCCGCGCTGTGTTGTGGTCCTTACCACCCCCAACCCTCCAGAAAATACCCCTAAGAAGACCCGGCCGGGCAGACGACGACGCGGGAAACCATCAAGGTGGGTGATTAACCGTTTCGGGTGTTGTATGTCCTACATATTGTGGTTGTATGATTTACAACCACCTTCCCCCAACCCTTTACAGGCCTTATATTTCAACGCATGGCACATCACCAGAAATAGTTCGACTTTCAAACAGATTTAGCCTTGGTCTGTCGGTTAAGGCGTCTGACTAGAAATCAGATTCTCCATGGCAGCGTAGGTTCGATACCTACCTACTGCAAACGGCCATTGTTTTAAGTGAAATATATATTTGTTAATTAACAGCTCAGCTCAGAAATTTTTCTCAAATATGGGGATTGAGTACATAAATATATAAAAATATAATGGACTTATATTTCAACGCATGGCACATTACCAGAAATAGTTCGACTTTCAAACAGATATAGCCTTGGTCTCTCGGTTGAGGCGTCTGACTAGAAATCAGATCCTCCATGGCAGCGTAGGTTCGAAACCTTCCTACTGCAAGCGGCCATTGTTTTGCTTGAAATATATATTTTTTAATTAACAGGTCAGCCCAGAAATTTTTCTCAAATATGGGGATTGAATACATAAATTTATAAAAATATAATGTCCTTATATTTCAACGCATGACACATCACCAGGAATAGTTCGACTTTCAAACAGATTTAGGCTTGGTCTGTCGGTTAAGGCGTCTGACTAGAAATCAGATTCTCTATCAGCATAAGTTCGAAACCTACCTACTGCAAACGACCATTGTTTTGCTTGAAATATATATTTTTTAATTAACAGATAAGCCCAGAAAATTTTCTCAAATATGGGGATTGACTACATAAATTTATGAAAATATAATGGCCTTATATTTCAACGCATGGCACATCACCAGAAATAGTTCGACTTTCAAACAGATTTAGCCCTGGTCTGTTGGTTAAGGCGTCTGACTAGAAATCAGATTCTCTATGGCAGCGTAGGTTCGAAACCTACCTACTGCAAACGGCCATTGTTTTGCTTGAAATATATATTATTTAATTAACAGGTCAGCTCAGAAATTTTTCTCAAATATGGGGACTGAGTACATAAATTTATAAAAATATAATGGACTTATATTTCAACGCATGGCACATTACCAGAAATAGTTCGACTTTCAAACAGATTTAGCCTTGGTCTCTCGGTTAAGGTGTCTAACCTACTGCAAACGACCATTTGTTTTGCTTGAAATGTAATTTTTGTAATTAGCAGCTCAGTCCAGAAAATTTTGTCAATTATGAAGATTGAGTGCATACATTTAAAACATTAAAATGTCCTTATATTTCAAATGGCACATCACCAGAAATTGTTCGACTTTCAAACAGATTTAGCCTTGGTCTCTCGGTTAAGGTGTCTGACTAGAAATCAGATCCTCCATGGCAGCGTAGGTTCGAAACCTACCTACTGCAAACGACCATTTGTTTTGCTTGAAATAAAATTTATGTAATTAGCAGCTGAGTCCAGAAAATTTTGTCAATTATGGAAATTGAGTGCATACATTTAAAACAATATAATGCCCTTATATTTCAAATGGCACATCACAAAAAATAGTTCGACTTTCAAACAGATTTAGCCTTGTTCTGTCGGTTAAGGCGTCTGACTAGAAATCAGATTCTCCATGGCAGCGTAGGTTCGATACCTACCTACTGCAAACCGCCATTGTTTTGCGTGAAATATATATTTTTTAATTAACAGCTCAGCTCAGAAATTTTTCTCAAATATGGGGATTGAGTACATAAATTTATAAAAATATAATGGACTTATATTTCAACGCATGGCACATTACCAGAAATAGTTCGACTTTCAAACAGAATTAGCCTTGGTCTCTCGGTCAAGGCGTCTGACTAGAAATCAGATTCTTCATGGCAGCGTAGGTTCGAAACCTACCTACTGCAAACGACCATTTGTTCTGCTTGAAATATAATTTTTGTAATTAGCAGCTCAGTCCAGAAAATTTTTGTCAATTATGGAGATTGAGTACATACATTTAAAACAATATAATGCCCTTATATTTCAAATGGCACATCACCAGAAACAGTTCGACTTTCGAACAGATTTAGCCTTGTTCTGTCGGTTAAGGCGTCTGTCTAGATATCAGATTCTACATGGCAGCGTAGTTTCGAAACCTACCTACTGCAAACGGCCATTGTTTTGCTTGAAATATAATTTTAGTAATTAGCAGCCCAGCCCAGAAAATTTTGTCAATTATAAGGATTGAGTGCATAAATTTAAAACAATATGCATACATATGCCCTTATATTTCAAATGGCACATCACCAGAAATAGTCCTACTTTCAAACAGATTTAGCCCTGGTCTGTCGGTTAAGGCGTCTGACTAGAAATCAGATTCTCTATGGCAGCGTAGGTTCGAAACCTACCTACTGCAAACGGCGATTGTTTTGCATGAAATATATATTTTTTAATTAACAGGTCAGCCCAGAAATTTTTCTCAAATATGGGGATTGAATACATAAATTTATAAAAATATAATGGCCTTATATTTCAACGCATGGCACATCACCAGAAATTGTTCGACTTTCAAACAGATTTAGCCTTGGTCTCTCGGTTAAGGCGTCTGACTAGAAATCAGATTCTCCATGGCAGCGTAGGTTCAAAACCTACCTACTGCAAACGGAAATTGTTTTGCTTGAAATATATATTTTTTAATTAACAGCTCAGCCCAGAAATTTTTCTCAGATATATTTATTGAGTACATAAATTTATAAAAATATAAAGGAATTATATTTCAACGCATGGCACATCACCAGAAATATTTCGACATTCAAACAGATTTAGATTTTGTCTGTCGATTAAGGCGACTGACTAGAAATCAGATTCTCCATGGCAGCGTAGGTTCGAAACCTACCTACTGCAAACGGAATTTTTTTTGCTTGAAATGTAATTTTTGTAATTAGCAGCTCAGTCCAGAAAATTTTGTCAATTATGGGGATTGAGTGCATACATATAAAACAATATAATGCCCTTATATTTCAAATGGCACATCACCAGAAATAGTCCTACTTTCAAACAGATTTAGCCCTGGTCTATCGCGTAAGGCGTCCGACTAGAAATCAGATTCTCTATGGCAGCGTAGGTTCTAAACCTACCTACTGCAAACGGCGATTGTTTTGCTTGAAATATATATTTTTTAATTAACAGTTTAGCCCAGAAATTTTTCTCAAATATGGGGATTTAATACATAAATTTATAAAAATATAGTGGCCTTATATTTCAACGCATGGCACATCACCAGAAATAATTCGACTTTCAAACAGATTTAGCCTTGGTCTGTCAGTTAAGGCGTCTGACTAGAAATCAGATTCTCCATGGCAGCGTAGGTTCGATACCTACCTACTGCAAACGGCCATTGTTTTGCGTGAAATATATATTTTGTAATTAAGAGCTCAGCTCAGAAATTTTTCTCAAATATGGGGATTGAGTACATAAATTTATAAAAATATAATTTACTTATATTTCAACGCATGGCACATTACCAGAAATAGTTCGACTTTCAAACAGATTTAGCCCTGGTCTGTCGGTTAAAGCGTCTGACTAGAATTTAGATTCTCTATGGCAGCGTAGGTTCGAAACCTACCTACTGCAAACGGCCATTGTTTTGCTTGAAATATATATTTTTTAATTAACAGGTCACCCAGAAATTTTTCTCAAATATGGGGATTGACTACATAAATTTATAAAAATATAATGGCCTTATATTTCAACGCATGGCACATTACCAGAAATAGTTCGACTTTCAAACAGATTTAGCCTTGGTCTCTCGGTTAAGGCGTCTGACTAGAAATCAGATTCTCCATGGCAGCGTAGGTTCGATACCTACCTACTGCAAACGGAATTTTTTTTGCATGAAATGTAATTTTTGTAATTAGCGGCTCAGTCCAGAAAATTTTGACAATTATGGGGATTGAGTGCATACATATAAAACAATATAATGAGCTTATATTTTAAATAGCACATCACCAGAAATAGTTCTACTTTCAAACATATTTAGAACTGGTCCGTCGGTTAAGGCGTCTGAATAGAAATCAGAATCTCAATGGCAGCGTAGGTTCGAAACCTACCTACTGCAAACGGAATTTTTTTTGCTTGAAATGTAATTTTTGTAATTAGCAGCTCAGTCCAGAAAATTTTGTCAATTATGGGGATTGAGTGCATACATATAAAACAATATAATGATCTTATATTTCAAATGGCACATCACCAGAAATAATTCTACTTTCAAACATATTTAGCTCTGGTTTGTCGGTTAAGGTGTCTAACTATAAATCAGATTCTCCATGGCAGCGTAGGTTCGAAACATACCTACTGCAAACGGCCATTATTTTGCTTGAAATATATATTTTTAAATTAACAGCTCAGCCCAGAAATTTTTTCAAATATGAAGATTTAGTACATAAATTTATAAAAATATTATGGACTTATATTTCAACGCATGGCACATCACCAGAAATAGTTCGACTTTCAAACAGATTTAGCTTCGGTCTGTCGGTTAAGGCGTCTGACTAGAAATCAGATTCTCCATGGCAGCGTAGGTTCGATACCTACCTACTGCAAACGGCCACTGTTTTGCATGAAATATATATTTGTTAATTAACAGCTCAGCACAGAAATTTTTCTCAAATA